TTGTGTTCATTGGGCTCCCGTTTCCTGTCCGCAATATAAATTTTTTTTTTCTGCACGCCAATAACTACAATTACAGAAAACTGGTTAAATTTGCAGACAGCACCAAGGTGGGTGGTGTAGCAGATACTGATCTAGCAGCAGAGAGGCTACAACAGGCTCTTGATTTAATTAGTGACTGGGCTGATACCTGGAAGATGAAATTTAACATAGATAAATGTAAGGTAATAGATAAATGTAAGGTAATCCATGGTATGAGCAGAAATATAAAGTACTGATATTTTATTGGTTCCACTGAAATAAAGGTAGCTGATTATGAGAAAGACCTCGGTGTGTATGTTGATGCTTCTATGTCCCACTCTCACCAGTGTGGGGAAGCAATAAAAAAGGCCAATAGGATGTTGGGTTATATATAGGTGTGTGGAGTTTAAGTCAAGGGAGGTGATGCTACGATTATACAATTCCTTGGTAAGACCCCATGTCACGGATGGGATCATGACAGTATTTTTAAGTTACCGCATGTTATGTTTATAAAATGTTTATAAAAAGTTAAACAGTGATGATCATGATGCGGATATCTTAATTACATTTTGGTATTTTCCTTCTACCTTGAAATAGATATGGATTCAATCCAGGATTGTCCAGCTGGGTGTTACCATGACAATTATGTGATTGGGGAGGGGAAGGGTGTTCACAATTTGTTGGGTTAAACCAAGTGGTTGGGGAGGGGATTTTTGCACATTACAATAAAATTGATATTTTAGCCTTTGTTGGTTTTATGAATAAATTTGAATAAAATTGTGGTTTTGGATAATATATTTTAGAATTGTGTATGTGGGATGTGTTGNGTTTTGGAGCTCCATGGCCTTCCCTGGTTCCTGAAGCCTCGGGCCTCAGCCATTCCTAACACCCCACCTAAAATATTGGTCACCATACCTTAAGCGTCTGCGTCTCGAAGCAGCTCTGATCGCCTGCCCACTTGCAAATCGCGCTATTCGCATGATAATAACATGATAATCCGACAGTTAGTATTGGGTAAAGAAATATGTGAATACGCACATTGTGACTGAAATAAACAAGAGCACATGTCTGGGTAGTGTTTATACTGATCGGCTACAATATAGCACACGGATACGTCTCTGCCGCTGAAGCTTTGTGCCAGTGTGGCCACTTTCAGCAGCGAATTTTCATATCTGTGTTCATGGCTCAGTGGGCTAAGCCTGTATGCCTGTAATCACAAGGTCTCCGGTTCAAACCCAGCCTATTTAGAACGTGAATAGCGATCTTCACTGTGAAGGAACTAAAATCCCAGTTCATTATTACTATTATTATTATTAATTTCCCTTTGGGATAAATAAAGTATTTTTGAATTGAACTGGGATTTTAGTTCCTTCACCTTTGTCTTTCTCAGCTCGCTTTTCGGAGGGAAGTTAATGTCGTACTTTTTATGAACAGTCCGAAAATGCCGATCCACATTTCCCTTCTTCGGAATAGGAACGGTAGACTGACAGATGAGGCAAATGCACTTCGAATATGACATGGTGAAAAAGAACAGTCCTCCTCCCATTCCGTATGGTTGGTCCAGCTCCTCCATTCATTTTTATACCCTTTCTTAAGTTCAGAAGAAATAAATTGGAGGCTAACTAGGCGACTCTGTAGCTTGCTAGAGATTTGCAGCAGCTGGTTCGGTTGATCCATCCTCTATTTTTTATGCTATGCGATCTACCCACACTACCTTTGTGATCGACCAGTAGATTGCGATCGACGTATTGGGCACCCCTGGTGTAGACCATGTGTACATCGGAGTGGATCATGAAAACAATACTGGGACCGGCGAGGAAGAAAAAAAAACGTATCCATTTATGCGGTCGCATCAATGCATTGGATCGTTTGCCGTTGAATCGATACATCGATACAAATCGATGCATTGTTATGCCCCTAGTAGTTAGAGTTTGGAATAGTCTTCCTGCTAGTGTAGTGCAAGCTAAAACCCTGGGTTCCTTCTAATCCGAGCTAGATAAGAGTTTAACAACTCTGAGCTGTTAGTTAAGTTCTCCCCAAACAAGCTTGATGGGCTGAATGGCCCCCTCTCGTTTGTAAATTTCTTATGTTCTTAATGATGTTGAATAACGACTTACAAACAATTCAAGTTATGAACGGCCATTCGGAACACATCTCATTCGTAGAGGAGTGTCTGTATAAATCTGGATTGTCTAGCCTCTAAATATTTTGGTTGCCGGATAGAGCCATTATAAGTGAATCCTTATTTGTTTGTTTATAAGGGATAAAATGTTTATTGAAGAGCTCTTTTTCTTGACCATTTTGAAGGACTTTAAGTAGCATAATGAATTGAATTGATGTGATCTTTGTCACTTTTATTTATTTATTGTAAAGAAGAGCATAGAAGCAGATATTCTGGTCTTGATTTTTAAGTACCTGGTCACATATGGCACCAATGATGTTTCAGGCAATGATGAGTCACCTGTAACCATACTTATGACCTGCTGATGTCTGCATATTAATAGGATGTTGGCAGTAATTGGCACGTTAACAGAAAGGTGGATATTGTTTGAGTCATCACATGCACACTTATGTGGGAACTTTTTTTCTTTTGGTCTGTAAACGTGTAGCGCACAATATCTTTCTGAACTTCTTAAAAGTGATTTTCCTGGATTGCTATCTTTTATCTTTTAGAAACATAATTTCATTGTAGCAAGCAGTTTTTTTTTTTTTTTTTTGCATTTGCTGTATTAAGTCTTTTGTGAGTCACAGCTGATGGGGTCTGGAGACTCTGCAGAAGGGGTTTGGTCATCAGATGATTTCTATGCGATGCAGAGGCCCCCATCTCCGTCAGGGACGAGTTAATGAATAGGATCATAAGGCTGCTGTCACAGGGCCAGATACAGGCTGGCACATTCCGGAGCTGTGAGCGTAGGCCTCTGCATCACTATTGTGATTCAGAGAGGGAAGTACTGGAGATATTACCAGCAATGGGTATCTTGGTCTTTGTGTGGCCTGGAGATTCTCGTTCGCTGTTTTAGACGTTAATGTAGGAGCAACGGGGAAAGTGGTTCTGGATATCTGCCATGTGACTCCAGCGTGTTTCTGGATGTTTCCTGTAGGCCTCAGGAAATCTGTCCTGATGACACAGCGCTGGGATAACGTTTGGTTATGGGCACAGGGCCACAGAAAACCTAGCTCAGCTGTGGACTCCATCTCTCATCCCTCACAGAAGCCTTTTTAGTTGCGCGGGCTGCATTGAGCCTGAAGGATATCGGCCGTCATTGGGTGGGCCAGGTGTGCCATCCTGCGGGGGAGAGGAAGGGGTTGTGCTGAGGCTGAGTGAGCTGAGAGCGCCGTGTTTTCTTAGCAGCTCCCACCGGGCCCTCTCTCTACCTACTGTCAGCTCCTGGCCTGCCACAGCCTCTCCGGTTTTCCTGGGCACCAGCTTCAAGGCTGTCTGCAGTGTGCTGTCTGCAGTGTGCTGTCTGCAGTGTGCTGTCTGCAGTGTGCTGTCTGCAGTGTGCTGTCTGCAGTGTGCTGTCTGCAGGCCTCTTTATGCTTGATCTTGCTGCGCACTGCTGTCTGCTGGTTTAGCTTTAAAGGCCAATGGCTCTCTGCGCTCAAAGAAGGTTGGGTTTAGGGATAGTGTAGACACTAGCTGCAGAACTATCATTATCTCTCATGATATTAGAATGATTCTGTTTAACTAGGGAGCTTCTCCTTCCTGTGCAAGATAGATCAGTCTTTGACTTTTGGCTTAGGCTTTGCACTCTTTTCCCTCATTGCAATGTCCACAAGCACCCGAGGAATGATTCCAGTTGATGAATTTCACTGGAAAGATTTAATCTTTAATCTGGTTTTTATCTTGTAGTTTCACATGAAGTGTCTGGCATATAGAAGAGATTGTCCTATTGAAGCTTATTTCCTCTCCTTCGGGATTTTTCATCATCCGTAGGTGGATTGGTTAATCGTCCGACCCTGTCTTTGTCTATAATCTGTCATTATGGGGAGATGTTAATTTTCATTTAGTGAAGATGTGAAAGCAGGGAAAATGTACTTTGTGAACTGTGGAGAACAAAAGTTCACTAAGAATGGAACTACAGCAGCCAGAAAGTCAAAAATACTCAATCTTTGTTTTGCACCTGGGAAAACCTTACTGGGGCCTTTCTGGTTGCATATCTTGAATCTTGGTTATCATTATTGACTGTCCTGGGGTTTGAGGTTTAGTCAGTGTCCCCTCCCCTTCTTTTCTTCTGTGAAGCCCCATTTTTCATCATGTTTTTTGACATGGCTTGGCCTTGGGCTTTGTGAGAAACATGGATCTTGCCGTTGCTCTTTAGTGCTGCACTCCAATATTATGATTCGATTTCCTGCATCTGTAGCTGTCGCTGTGCCCCGTGTGTGCCGGTGGCCTGCCTTTGTCCTGGTTGGGTTTATGCGAAGAAAAGGGCTTCCTGTTATTGGTCCGTGCCATTAGATAAGACGTCAGGTTCATGTGACAGTATGATCGATCCATGGCACAGACTCCGTTTCTGAGATCTGCTTCTTAACATAATTTAGGGTGTTTCTTGGTTGTTCTGTGTTTATCGCAGTATGTGATGGTGCATCCTGTTCTGTACTTCTTGGTTACACGGTAAGACAAGGGCACTTTTTGTGACGAGACTCTGAAGCACAGGAAAGAACAGAAATAGCCATAATTACATGATGTGGAACCCAGTTGAGATTTAAATCTTAAGTAGAAAATCCAACTTGCAACCCTATGCTAGTGAAACTAGAGAATGACGGTTGTGGATTTTTTTCTTAGAAAAATGTCTTCGCAGTTGTCGTCAGACATGGTAGAAAATGTACCTTCCTTACATTTTGTCCTGCTGATATTTTCCACACATGCAACTTTGTTTTCCTTGTCATTCTGGAAGCTTTTGATGTGGATTTTGTTGCATAATGCCCACGCCTGTGTGGTCACTGTGAGTGACAGACATTCTGTCTTGTTTTCCTGGCAGTAGAGCAATGTCTGAAGGTCAGAAGTGAACTGGAGGCACAGCTAGTGTGAGGGGGCCCGTCCCAGCCACCTGTGCCCCGGGGGGACAGCTGTGCCTCTGGACCATGGGGGATGGCGGTGTCGGAAATGGAGGAGAGTCGGTGAACCAGTCCCATGTCCTCTTCGACCGCTTTGTCCAGGCGACCACCTGCAAAGGGACACTTCGGTCCTTCCAAGAGCTATGCGACTTCCTAGAGCTGAAGCCCAGCGAGTACCGCATCTTCTACCACAAGCTCAAGTCTAGGCTGAACTACTGGAAGGCCAAGGCCCTCTGGGCCAAGTTGGACAAGAGGGCCGGCCATAAAGACTATAAAAAGGGCCGTGCCTGCACCAACTCAAGGGTGAGCTTCCTGATCTGCCCACCTGATCTTCACTCGCGGTCATGGTTATACCGACCTTAATTATCTCTTGTCCCTTAAACCGTTTCGTCACTTTTTACCAGGTTTAGGTCAACTTGCAGGTGACTGGTGATGGCTAGTGTCTTGATAGGATTTTTTTCCCTTGCTGCTCCTCTCAGTGCTTGATCATCGGTGCGGGACCATGTGGCCTCCGGACGGCCATAGAGCTGAGCTTCCTGGGAGCCAAGGTGGTGCTGCTGGAGAAGCGGGATGCCTTCTCGCGCAACAATGTGCTGCACCTCTGGCCCTTCACGATCCAGGACCTGCGTGGCCTTGGGGCGAAAAAGTTCTATGGGAAGTTCTGCGCTGGAGCCATTGACCACATCAGTGAGTGGAGGAGCCAATTTGCCCTGTGAATTTATTTGTAAACAATTACCCAAGAGCACATGAATGATAGATTTTAGAAAATGCATTCGAGGGTGTCTAGGGTGGTAAGTTCTGTCTAACCTCAGGGTTGGCAGACAGATGACAGACCCTGAAAGAGAAGGTTTTTACTCCAGTTCTGGAGAAGGAGCCCATCTCTGTATTGACCCTAAGTGCCATCCTCGCTTTGAGCCGAGTAAGAAATAACAGCCGGGCTCTTCTTTAGGCATCCGCCAGCTCCAGCTGATTCTGCTAAAGGTCGCTTTGCTGCTGGGCATAGAGATCCATGTCAACGCTGAGTTCAAGGGGTTAGTCGAGCCACCAGAGGACCAGGAGAATGAGAGTAAGTTTGGCTCCTGCTTGCCCACTGTTGTACTCCTGCTGTTTAGAGACTTTTTTTATCCTCAGTGCAGATTCAGGTATTTTATTCATATGATTTGAGTGTGTGATGAAATGATTAATTTTCTGGAGAGGCTCAGCGGAACCCCTGTACCATGTTTCCTAGGGATAGGATGGAGAGCTGAGGTTTCCCCAGGGACACATCCTGTGAATGAGCTGGAGTTTGACGTTGTCATTGGTGCAGATGGTAGAAGAAACACTCTGCCTGGTAAGGACAGTCTTCTGGCCCCTCGCAGATGGAGGTGGATCTTTGTCCAGGATAGTGTTGGTGTGTCCCGTTTCTTGAGTATCTACTGGGATGAATAACAGAGTTCAAACTGATGTCTTTTATCACTTGGAAACCCTTTACCTTTCTCTCTCTGTCTCTCTCTCTCACACACACACACACACACACACACACACCAATTCAATGACTAACTCCTCTAGTACCTGCTGCTGTGTCTGTCTGCCCATTTAACTGTTGGAGGCTCAAAGTCTTATCACTGCTAAGTCAGGTGATAGAACAAGATTATGGAGAGACAGTAGGAAATAGCTGTAAAAATAAAAGGGGGATCCCCTTGTTACTGTCGATTCCTTTATGTTCCCAAGCGGTGTCACCGCCTCACTCCCCTTCTATGGTGCCATGCAGCATGATATGTGAGATGATGCTTCCTGTCTCCGGTCACCCAGGGTTCCGTAGGAAGGAGTTCAGAGGCAAGCTGGCCATCGCCATCACGGCCAACTTCATCAACCGCAACACCACGGCTGAGGCTAAGGTGGAGGAGATCAGTGGCGTGGCCTTCATCTTCAACCAGAAGTTCTTCCAAGACCTGCGGGAGGCCACAGGTGAGCTCCTCTCTGCAGTGCCGTACCTGAGCGATGTGTGCTGGAAATGCAGAACAGCAAAGCAGGGCTATCTGCCGATTCATCATTGTGTAGGTAGGCCTTTCTCATCCGCTTAGGCGCAGTGTCTGTTCATTTCGTTTGATGCTTTTTGAAGGAGGAACAGTGGAGCCAACCAAATGTGGACCATTAATTGTGGTCAGAAGAGCCTCTCAATTAAGAGATGATCAGCTTGACAGGGCTTTGAGAATGTCTGTTGCTGTATAATCACTGGCGTTACCCACAATCCTCTATTGAGGGGAAAGTACCACAGCCCAAGTGGTGGAAAATGGGGATGGGGGTTCCTGGGTAGGAAAATAAGTTTCTCTCTCTCTGATTCCTAGGAATCGACCTGGAAAACATTGTCTACTACAAAGATGACACGCATTACTTTGTCATGACTGCCAAAAAACAAAGTCTACTGGAGAAGGGAGTCATCCTGCATGTGAGTGATTAAAGCCTCCCGTGGAGGGTGGGGTGGAGGTTGGGGGCGGGGGGCACGTCTGGGGCACACACACACACACACACACACACACACACACACAGCCTGCCAGATGGAACAGCCCCGCTTAGCAAACAAGCTGAACCACGCTTAACGAGAACTTTATATACTTTGAACAATGCCAGTCTTCTGACAGTTTTCTTAGGAAGTATAATCTCAAGATTAAAAGGTTGTCTTGGGTATTTGGATTTACTTGTTGAAACAGGTTGGTTTTGCCTTCCAATTGTATTTGTTTAGGTTCTGGACCTGTGGTGTTTGAGTGAGTTATTCTGACATTGAAACATCTATTGTGCTGTTCATAAGAAATGGTAACTGTCTTGTTTTGAGTTTTCTGTGGAGATTGTATGGTGGTACTTTGATGAGCTGTTGACTTGCAAGTCCGTGTTTTGATGCATGCCTCACATCAGCCGTGAAAGGCACAGATTCATTTCAGCATCGATAAACTTTGTGGACTCTGCAGTTTTTGAAATTCCAGCTTCAGTTTTTTCTTGTGTCAATTCGGACCAAGTTGTGTGGTCTTTACAAACTGCGAGACCCTGGACAGGGGCACTGACCCTCTGGAATTTCCCGGATCTCAGTCGGAGGCTCCGTTTGGTCACTCTGTTTAGTCAGTGACCGGATGGCGTAGGGGCATTGGATGTAATGACCCCAAGCGGCGAGGTGCAGGGCATGTTGGAATCTGGTTAATCTCTGTTCTGGGGAGTTCTTCCACACTGGGTTCATTTTTAGTCCATGTTTTTCTGTGGTGGTTGAACACCGACGCGTGATGATGGAATGTCGACATCTGAGCTTTCGGCTCTGTGGGACGTCTTGAAATCCAGATGTAGCACGTCAGCATAATGCAGCCACGGGGTGGAGGTCTCTGAAAGTGTGGTACATGGTCCAGCTTCCCCCTGTTGCTGTTAGAGATGAGAGTGGCTTCTACGTGGATTAGCAGGGATGCATCATCCTGGTACCTAATACAGTACTGTATGTCTGGAATGGCATGTAAAATTAAAGAGCACGCCCTAATTCCACCACAAATCCCGGTGTTTCCAGAAGCCTGACTTGTGTATATTAAGGACTGTAATGGTTAGGAATTCCTTTTCTTGGTTCTGCGTGGTGACGCTGCCGCACTGGCTGCCGCACTGGCTGCCGCACTGGCTGCCGCACTGGCTGCCGCACTGGCTGCGACTCCCAACACCATTGCTCGGTTCCAGTCCTCATAACACACCACATGTGCTCATGTTTACTCCAGTGGAGTTCTTAATTAGGCTTTATTGAGCTGTTGTTTCAGGAGCAGCTGCTTGGTTAAAGTCATATGAATTGGAATACAGTTATTGCGATTGTATTAAACTGAGTTAAATTCCTGCACAGCTTGGAAAAATTGGAAATGATGGAGTATCGATTAATATAAACACACTTACAAAATAAGCAGCAAATGATCAACTAAAGTGCTCCCTGGCGTAATAAATGTTTAAAATCACCAAATGAAATGCGCATTTAGTGCTGGACTCTTCCCTCGGAAAATGTGCTGATGTTAATGTATCTCAGGTTAGCTGTATCTAGTCAAGCTGAGCTTGATGACTGTCTGGAGGGTGGTGTGTCTCTTTGCTTCTTCCTGCGTCTGTTTGACACATGTGGCACTATGTCGCAGTCCCTGCACGCTAACGCTAACGCTAACATCCGTCCCGCAGGACCATGCCGACACGGAGCTGCTGCTCTCCCGGGGCAACGTGGACCAGGCTGCCCTGCTGGCCTACGCCCGCGAGGCTGCCGACTTCTCCACCAACCAGCAGCTGCCCACGCTGGACTTCGCCATTAACCACTACGGGCAGCCGGACGTGGCCATGTTCGACTTCACCTGCATGTACGCGTCTGAGAACGCGGCGCTGGTGCGACAGCGTAACGGGCACCAGCTACTGGTGGCACTGGTGGGGGACAGCCTGCTGGAGGTGAGGGGGCGCATGGGCAGCGTGCTGTCAGCTGGAGGTGGTGGGGGGGGCGCGCGAGAGATGTGGAGATGATAGTTCAGACATTTTGATCAAATTTGCCGAAGAGCAGTAGTTCATGGAGGTGCGAATGCTGAAAGCCGTGGCTCCCCCTGCAGCCCTTCTGGCCCATGGGCACGGGCATCGCCAGGGGCTTCCTGGCAGCCCTGGACTCGGCCTGGATGGTGCGCAGCTGGTCCCAGGGCACCGCGCCGCTGGAGGTGCTGGCTGAGAGGTGGGTGGACCGCATGTTACACAGCCACCTGTATGACATCGTTCTATTGCTGACTGATCAGAATGAGCCCGGCTCTGCTAAGCTAAAAAATGCCCATGGTAACTAGGGAGTAATCTCTCACTAACCCCCCCCCCCCTACCCCACCCCCAAAGGGAGACCATCTATCGCCTCCTTCCTCAGACAACCCCCGAGAATGTCAGCAAGAACTTCAGCCAGTACAGTGTGGACCCTACTACACGCTACCCCAACATCAACCTCCATTCCCTCAGGCCCAACCAGGTGTGTCTCACCTGCATTGCCTGTCTCATACCAATGTTAATGTTGTGTAATACCAGCGTGCGCCACCAGGGGAGTGACCTGCATTACTGCCGTTCACAGGTGCGACACCTCATAGACACAGGGGAGTGCAGGGACCCACGAATTGATATGGAGAATGCAGTCAATGGTTTGACACCCAAGCTAACACGAAACGGTGAGGAACCACCTTTATGCTGGCCTCTGTTGGGTACTGTGGGTTTATCCATGGTTCTGTTACGGTGAGTATGCGTGTCCCTAAACTTGAATGCTCTGTTATTGCAGTTGAAGTATAACAATGTGTCATTCTTGTCCTAGAATATGGTCAGCTTGAGAACATTTTGGAAGGTAAAATTACCAGTCACTAAAATTTGCATGAAGCCCGTCAAGAATCAGTAATTTGGCCATATTGTTCATTTTAACACTGAGGCTTCAAACTCACCAATTACAGTTCATAGAAAACAGTTTTTTGTTTTACAGAAAAAATGGATTATGGCATCTTGGAAGGTTAATTTGACTTACTGACTGATCAGCAGGGTAATAACTAACAATTGATTAGCATTTTGTAACGCTTACAGTCTACGTAATCTGTGTTCAACTTTATAGTTATAAGGCTATTAGACCTTGGGACTTTGGTCATGTGACTAACTGGGCGCCTTGGGATTGGCGGAGCCGTTGGCTGGGCGACACTGGGCCCTGGGTTTGTGTCAGTCACTGTGGTGCCATGCTGTGTTCCGCAGACTCCATCGCCCGATCCAGCAAGCTGCTGAGCTGGTGTCAGCGACAGACACAGGGCTACCGGAATGTCAGCGTCACCGACCTCACCACGTCCTGGAAGAGTGGCCTGGCCCTGTGTGCCATCATCCACCGCTACCGGCCCGACCTCATGTGAGAAGCCTGCTGAGATCCGCACCCAGGAGCTCTGTAATGGGAGAAGCCGTGCAGGACTAGACCCGTAATGGGAGTCGTCTTTACGCTGAATCCCGCTGTGCTACGTTGGCGACCGTCTCCTGTAGTCTTTGTGCGGCAGAATGTTTGCATGGCAGCAGTGAGCAGCGACTGATCTGAGTCACAGATTCCCCCCCCCCCCCCCCCCCGAATGCGCCCTGTTGGGGAGAGAGGGCAGCTTGTCCGTGACCCAGCTCAACCGCTGATCAGTTAGCCTGTGAATTTTCTCCGGGATATTCAACCGCAGGGGCAATTCTTGGATTTAATGAGGTGTGTGGCATGCGAGGGGCCATCATTCATAGAGGAGCAAACCTTATCAGCTAATGATGTTTTGAATCGGTGAGTGACAGAGGAGGAGGCACTCCGAGGGCCAATCACCTTTCAGCTCCGGCCAGTACCTCTGTGGCTCCACCCCTGCTCATCCGTTCATCAAGGAATTGTGGAAGATGCCATTAAACGTCTAGTGATGTCGTGTTATTTTTTCCCCAACTTTTATAGAAGTGTTCGTGTGCGCTCAGGGCACTTTTAGTGGCTAATCTGTGGGCGTGGTAAACACACACGATGGTGGGGCAGCTTTGAGCGGACACTCGATATGGCCATGGCATCTGCCCTATCATTTTGTGCTTATGTCTCTCCCCTCCCACCCATGGGTCTCCTGTGTCCCTGCAGTGATTTTGACTCCCTAGAGGAGCGAGACCTGGAGAAAAACAACCAGCTAGCTTTCGATGTGGCCGAACAGGAGTTTGGCATCTCGCCCATCATGACTGGCAAGGAGATGGCATCAGTGGGGGAGCCCGACAAGCTCTCCATGGTCATGTACCTCAGCCAGTTCTATGAGATGTTTAAGGACACGGTGCCCCCTGGTGGTGAGTGCTGGAATGTCATCAGCAACACGCATGCCGTGTGGCCCTTGGCCTTGGGGAAACTTTTTTTTTTTTCCTTTGGCTTTTCAGAGAACAACAACCTCAGTCCAGAGGACAAGGCAGCCCTGATTGCCAGCACAAAGTCTCCGATTTCCTTCCTGAGCAAACTTGGACAGAGCATCACCCGCAAGCGTAATCCCAAGGTCCGGATCACCCGCCTCTTCTGGCATGATGCCCACTGGTAAATCGCGAAAATGTCAGTGTGTAACTGCAGGCATTCCTTACTGTCCCTCAGGACCAGAAGGAGCTGGAAGGCAAGAGGAGGAGAACCAGCCTCACCGAAGATGTAAGCAGTGACCGGCTGTCATTTTTATGATGACAGTGTGTGTTGGTTTCTAGAAGCTTGGTTTTATCCATTGTCTCCTGATGGGGTTCTGTGTTGCTGCACATGCCTTGTCCTGCTTGGATAAATAAATAAAGCCGTTCAGAATGTGCTTGAGATTCGTTGCACAGGGTTCAGCCATATTGTCTCTGACACCCAGGAGGGGTTCCCGAGGGTCCGTTGTGAGGACCGGCCCGGTCTGGCCACCACCCTGACGGAGCGCCGGGTTGATGCCGTAGCCGGCGGCAACAACAACAACAAAGTGAAGTCCATGGCGTCCCAGCTGCTGGCCAAGTTTGAGGAGAACGCCCCTGTGCCTTCCTCAGGCCTGAAGAGACAGGTGAGCAGCCGTGCAAATGTGTTCAATTCCTGGACAGGTGTGCACAGGGACTCCCCCGTGGATACGAGAGAGATGGTACCTTCCTAACCTCTCTAATTCCGCTCAGCTGCACTCCTTCAGGGTCTGCTTGTGTGTTTAAGTGCAGTATTGATTAATTATGAAAATCTGTTAGCGATTAACTGGCCTGATGCTCATTAACATGGCAGCCCCTCACTTACCGTGTCGGTGATGTTTGTTTACAGATTGTAGGTGTTTGCGTGACTGGCCTGGGCTGGCTTGGCCTGGCATCGCGGGTAACGGAGTCGTATTGCGCTGAGATTTTCCTGTTAGGGCCGTGCCAGTTCACTGACCCGGCTTTATGGGGCGGGTGGTCCGGAGGAGGGGGCTGTTGAGGAATAACACATCTTTCCCTCTATTGCTCTCTCGCTGTCACACTTCATTATGGAAGTGGATGTATATTTGGGGTTTAGTATGGAAAGGTGGGGTACACTAACCCCTAATGGTCCAGAGGACAGCTATGCAGAAGTGTGAGTTTCCATTCTGAGAATGATGATCTCTGTCAGACTGCGCTGTACAGAACCTGGGAGGAGTTAAATTCTGCACCAAATTTTGCTGAACCAGCTTTGGATGGGGAGAAATGTTTTAAATTCCTGTGGAAACTGTGTTCTTCGCTGAGGTTTCGGTGTCCATAATGGATTAATGGTCTCAAACGGCTGGTGCCTTTTGAAGTGAAGAAACCATTCAAGTCGATATGGCATATTCAGTGTTACATCCCCACCTGTGTGTGTGTGTGTGTGTGTGTGTGTGTGTGTGTGAGTGTGAGAGTGTCACGTTACACCTTTAGCTCTCCTTGTGACAGTTGAGCTCCCTGCTTCATACTCACATTTTCCCGTGTGTGCGTGTGTGCGTGCGTGCGTGCGCCTCATGTTACTGCTATACCTCTCCTAGTGACAGCTGCGCTCCCTTCTTCACACTCACATTTTCTCCCCTAACAAACTCCCTAAATCTCTGCTCTCTTCATGGGGACTGGAATTGTGGGCTTGGACTCTGATTATAATGATACACGTTCCAGCTCTGATTGTATTGTAACAGTTTCCTGCTTTCTTTATTATTTTGATTAGCATAAAGTTCATAATTGTTATTCCATCTATCATTTCAACCAGCATGTCTTCCCATCAGTTATTTTCTCTTCTCTTTCTGCCTCCTCTCCTTCTACACTACGCCCTCATGCTTGGGGGGGTGGGCTTTTCCTTGGGCTCCTTCGATTTGCCCACATGCACCCCCACCAGACACGGGGGGGCTCAATGCCCAACCTGGACTTTCTGCTGCCTGTTTCTTCATCGCTCGTGTCCCAGAATGATCCGCTGTACCTTGTCCACATCCCCGCCTGGAGAAAGGTAGAGTAACAAACCCCCCAGTCTTGTAATATCCCTGTCAGTTTTTTTTTGGGCATTATGGCAGTCTGAGTGTGTGTTTTCCGAGGGTGACCAGATAATCCATGTTAGCGAGGACGCTTTGAGCTACGTCAGATTTGACAAACTTCTTTAAAACCGAAAGGCTCCTGTGTTTGGCTAATTAGTTCAGTTCTTCTTGCACTTTAACTGGTTTGTTTCCTTCATTGAAGGACTCATCCAGCTGTTTCACATTAACATCAGTGACACATGCATGATTAATGGAGACTGACCAATCAGCACACAGCAAGAACTCAGCGTTTAAGTGTTTAAACTTAAGCGTTTACATCCATGTCGTTTTAATTGTAATGGTAGTATACAAATCCTGTTCTAGCTAAAATTTCCTCCCAGACACGGATTATCTGGTCACCCTAGTTTTCCCCTGTAAACATTAAGGAACCCACACGATGGATAGGTACTAGATTTACTGCCATCACAGTGGCCTGTAGACGCAATGGCTGATTACAAGATTTTGTGCTCAGATTTACAATAGAAGCAATATAAGTGCGAAGGATGGCGTTCCTTGGGAGGTGGTTTCGGTGATTTAGGTATGTTTGGACACTGGCCCTGAGCAGGAGGAGGAACAGATGATATTCTGAAAGGATTCTGCCCAGCAGGGGCAAGCGGGCTGTCTCCACTCTAGCGCCCTCTGTAGGTATTCCTCATTAAGCTCATCCCCATAACATTAAATGAAGGGCAAATCAACATGTGTAAGGTTCAGCATTTCCAGATTTCCCTGTGTTGACCAGTTCATTTTTTTTGTTATAGATATTTCTGTGGCTGAAAGCAGAAAGTTCTGACTTTTTATTTAGAATAGCTTCTGTATAGTTATATTAAATGTAGCGTGATCGCTTTAAGGGCTGGCACGATCCCATTTGCGCTTCACCATCCATCCTTGTTTGACAGGTCAGCTGGCTTCCCACATAAGGAAGCGTTCCCTCAAGCAAGTGGCATCTTGCTGAGTCCCGCTCCGAGCGCCGCTCCTTTCCTCACATATCCCGTTTTGCAGGCTTGCTTTCCCGCTAGAATGCGAATGGCCGCATTCTTCTTGAGCTGTCTCTCCTGCGATGGGCTTGTCAGGGCTGAATGTGCCTAAACAGCAATTTTCACCTTTAATGGACAATCGTCCCGGTTTGCTGCACGCTAACCTCACTTCCTGTTCACAGGAAGTTTTAGATGTGATGAGGTGGCATGTGTGCTTGTGGGCACCTAGTGCTGTGCCAGGTCAGCTGATCCCTGGCACACCCAGTAGACGAGACCCCCTCTGGCGTATTTGAGGAATGACTGCACTGATCCTGTCCCCTCTCATCTCCTGAAGGCCAGAAGCTGTTCCGGCTCGCGGAGCTGCCCTAAGAAAATCATTCTACTCTCCTCCTCTTCCTCGCTCTCTCTTCATGCGCAGGTGACGCCTCGTGCCCAGTCTCTGGCACGCCCTTTGCCCTTTCTTGTTCTTCGTTGCTGTCACACTCTCTCCTCTCAAACCTCTTGTTACTCCCTTTAGGTTGGGCCTGGTTACCAGCTGAGGTTTTCTTTAGGTGGCACCTGTAGCTAAATTGATTCACGGTGTTTCCTGCTCATGCAGCTGAGTGCTTTACTAGCGTAAGTCAGGATATCTAAAATGCTGAGGGGCACTAGAGTAGGGTTCCTCCTGGAACTTTTCCTGGTAATCTGGACTTCACTAGTCTGGATTTAATTGCGGTTCCTACCTGTCGCTCCAAGAGGCAGGTGATGCTGAAGGTTCCCGTGGTGTCGTGTTGAGTTCTCATCCTCCTAGGGACTTGTTTGTGTTGAGGGAGATACAGACTGTCCCTCTGTTGCCTTCCTGGAGCTCATTTTAAGGTGCACTGGCTGATATTTAAATCTGTAGCTGATGATTCTTCATGAAGCAGAGCTTGTGTTACAAGGACACTTGGTACAGTGTTTTGGAGAATGTCTGATTTTTTTTTTATAGGTGTAATAGCATATCAGTATTTGTGTGGGATGTCTTGTTGCCTAGATCTCTTCCAAGTTAATTTCTAATCAGCTCAGTTCAAATTCCTTGCATGGTGTTGCTGGGTCTGGTTAATTTGGGTTGTTCAGTCTTTACTCTCCATCCAGAGCTCAACTTGCTCTCTCCTGCAGGAGCCACAGCTCCCCCTTGAGGACCAAACAGCTACATACACCCCTAATGTCTATCTGGCCTCTAAGTTTAAAGACAAGCCTGAGAAGCCACAGGTGAAACAACGCACCCCCCCCCCCCTCTCTTTATACAAGACACATGCGATACGTGGTGCAGCCCACCTCCTGATTACAGAGGTGTCTTTGTGGCCAGTGCAGCACTCACAGCTAAGACTTCATGCATAATTTTCCATTTTTACTCTCTAAAACAATTCTGATTCCTTTGCCGCATTTTCTGTTTCCTTGTATAACATTGCCTTCTGTTTCTGTCTCTCTCCTGTGTCTTGTCTGTAGCCCATGAAAAAACCCTCGCGCTCCTTTTTAGAGCAGTGGTACCAGTCTCAGGGTCTCAGTCCCGGCAGCCCTTCCCTTTCCCATGATTCCCTCTGTCAGGTAGCCCAGCCTGGGTCTGTGCTGCTGATGGTGGAAAGCCTGAAGTTTGTGTGAAAACGGGCCTGCTAGAGAGCAGTCTGTAACATGACGTACTGACCTGGACCCCCTCACGCCTGGTATAGAGCAGTCTGTAACATGACTTACTGACCAGGGCCCTCTCACGCCTGGTATAGAGCAGTCTGTAACATGACTTACTGACCAGGGCCCCCTCACGCCTGGTATAGA